TAATCTTTTGAATCAACTAAAATTGGTCTAATTAACTGTGATTGAAGCAACTGAACTGGGTGAATCGACTAATTAAGAGGTCGTTTGCTAACACCGTTTTTCGGCTTATCAGGCTTACCAGCCAACTTTTTCACCAAACACGTATATTTTGCTTTCGCGCGATGAATTGTGTAATAAGCAGAAAAAGTAGGTTAAAGTTACTTTTCTGGCTGTATTGGCTGAAGTTATTGTAGATGGTCATTTTAGCTATTTTTACATATATTTTTTTCGTTATTTTATTAATAAAATATATTTTAAAAATATTTTTTTCTTAAATCAACAGAATCAACCAATGCAGCCACTTCAGCCAGCACTTTATAAATTTCAGCAAAATCAGCCAAACCATCCGATTTTCGTGCTAACAAACGGGCTCTATATTACAAAAAAGTTATATTTAAAATATGTTTACTTAATAAAAAGAAAAATTATAAGAAAATAGCTAAAGTATCATCTTCAGCAAGTTCTTTTAATTCTATTAGAAAGATACTTCAACATTACTTCTTTTGATTATTGTATAAAAATTAAAATTTAAATATATATAAAAAATTACTTATAATGTTGATTAGTCAAAAATAGGAGTTATGGATCAAATGAGCTCCTATTTTCTTGTATTACTAATTTTAATTTTAAAAGCCACCAAAGTTCTAACAAAGCAATTAGTAATAATAGACTAATAGCCTTTCATTAAATTTGATTTTATAAAAACATACCACCTCTGTTCATTCCACTAACTGTGCCCTTGTGTTGTTATTTGGAAAATAAATTTAAATGGTTGATATTAAATTAATAAAAAGATATAATAAGATAAAAATTATGTAAAAGCACACATACTTTATCAGTTTTGGAATGATATAATTTTAGGTCTGCCATGATTTTATTCCCAAAATAGGACTAATTACTAAAAAGGTTTGAAAATTCCAAAATAGGACTGCCATGATTTTATTCCCAAAATAGGACTAATTATTGTCATGTTTTGGCAGTACCAGACTTAAACATGACAGTATTTTCCAAACTTGACAGTAATTACTCCTATTTTGGGAATAAAAAACATTTCAGTCTTATTTTGGAATATCAAACTGTTTTAGTCCTATTTCGAGAACTTTTCCTAATTTTAGTTAATCAGGGAAATTTGTTAAATCAGTCCCGTAACTTTAGCCTATAGCTGATATTGGTCCTCTAACTTTATGTACTTGCAAAATACATCCTCCAAATTATATATTTGTTCAATTTCAGGACATTGACGTCTGAAAGTTAAATTTTTGCCGGAAAGTTACATGTCTATCTCCCGTTATTGTAATCTTTTCCTAACTTTTGCAGCTGACATGGATGTGGGTCCCACTTTACGACTTATTCCCAAACACTTCATTGTGCTCTCCCATGCTCTTCCAAACCCCCCATTAGAACAATAAAAACACAAAACTTAAGAGAATAAAGGAGGCTTCGTAACTCTTGGTCTGGCTTCTCCACATATTGAAGGAAGGTGAGTGTGTTCCTCTAAACTGCAAATAATGGCTCAGGCAAGGATATATTCCAGAAGGCCGGTCTTTTAATTTTGATGGTTTCGAATTTTGCTTGAAAATATTAAAGATTTTATATGTAGTACTCCCTCGGTCCCCTTTTAAATGTTCCAGAATAGGGTGACATGAGTTTTAAGAAAAGTGGTTCTGTATGGTTGATATTAATTGATAAAGTAAGAATAAAGTAAGAATGATTTTGAGCCACACAAATTTTAACAAATAAGGTATGAGACAATTAAATAGGGACATCCCAATATAGTAAAACGGGACATTTAAAAGGGGACGAATGGAGTATTACTTTGATATACAAGAAAAGAATTTCTAATGTTAAAAGTTCTAACAAGACATTATATTGGAACAAGAATAATACGAGTAGTTGATTAGCAAAACTAACGACTTGTCTTTTACCTGGACCGTTTCTATAGTTACAAATGGAGGCTTTTAAAATTGAAAAGTGTTAAGAATTTTTTTAAAAATAGCCTGAAGTGCAGTGTTTTCAGTATGTTCACTTTTACAATTTCGTATTTGGAATTTATAAGAAATAAATTGAAAAAATAGGGTCCCAAGTCCAGGTTAGCTAGGTCATATGAAAAAAATATGAGCAGGTGGCGCTGATGTGTTAATTTCCGGTGGAATTATTACTCTCCAGCATAAATGTCCTGAAATTGGACAAATGTGTTAATTAGAGGACGTATTATGCAAGTAAAATAAGTTAGAGGACCAATATCGGACACGGCCAAAAGTTACGGGACTAATTTAACAAATTTGTGGAATTAATTAGCAAGCTAAGGGTTGACAAATCTTTCAAACAAGTTGGACGAATCGCAATTAAAATACGGAGTATGAAGATCTTTGCAATAATTGAATATTCTAAACATGATAGCAGTCAGGTGATGCCATCTGGAGATGCAGTTATCTGTTATGCAGTGACAGCGGCTGAATCTCTTCGATAGGCGACAAGCTTTTCCACTTTTCAATTTTTTGTTAACACCTAATTGGTTGATTCCTGAGTTAACTGGAGTAATTTTAAGTTTCCAAGAATCTATTTCCGACACTCACTATAGTTTCAAAATTGTAAGTATACATGTTAAAAGTTTGTGTTTACATTCACCAATAAATTTCATAAACATTTGCTTTGAAATTTGATACATAGCTTAATTTTAAGCTAAATAAATCAATACTATGACTATACTGTATGATAATAATGCAGACAATAATTGTATTATTTGTATAATTTCATTTTGCTATACTCATATCCTAATCAAAACTTTTATAATTTTAACTATTTTATTAATAATTGTATCAACTAAACCAAAAAAGACATATAAAACGGGAGGGACGGCAGTCCCAAAATAAATACTCCGTATCACTTTCTTATTATAGCAAAAAACTCATGGTTCATATTGATTATTTGTACTCCAAATGACTAAGTTACAAATTTTTGTCTCTTAATAATTAATAATAAGGAATAGTTTGACAGTACTCCCTTAGCTTTAGCCTTTCAAACTTTATCATCTTTTTTTTGTGTGTCATTAACTTTGTCAATTTTCCGTTTAAACGAAAAATTTGTAATTTTAGTTAATTATCTCTCCTCTGCACAAACATCAACAATACAGTTTTTACTTTATTAATCCACACATCAATCAAATTTGTGCAAGTTTTAAGTAGCGGTGAGATCGGTTCGGGTTGGGTTTTGGCTAGGATTGGAACGCAAAAAAAAAAAAAAACCTTCGGATTCTACATTTTTTTGCCCGTTTGGATGACCAATACTTTTGGGATGGTCCATGTGTTAAATTAAGAACTTCAGGTTCAAGTTGAACCCTTTAAAAAAATCAAACTTTTAAACTGTGAATAGTTTTTTAAACAAAAACTATTTTGTAGATAAACATCGACAATCTTCAACTGTGACTTACAACATGATGTCATGAAGGTGATCAAAAACACTTATAACAGAAGAATGAGATATTTAAGTACAATTTAAATACACTCTCATACATTGCAATTATCTAAATTTCTCAATCAAAAAACACACGTTGAAACCAAAGCAGTATATATCATGAATAAAAAAACACACAATAAAAAATGTTGGGCTAAAGGGTCCAATAGGCTTTCGAACTAACTTAAAAAGTGCAAATCACCCCTTATATAGGAAGCTTGTCCGGCCGTCACCATTTGGAGCGGTTCCCGATGGATTTTTTGATGAATGTTTTTGAGCATTTTCATCATTAAGTCTAGTTTACTCATACTAAATTTTAACTAACAATTCAATCGGGAAAGCAGTCAAATGAATTTTTGAAGATAACTGTGCAGTTAAACAGCGCAATACATTTCAGAGAATCATTTGACTATCTTCTCGGTTGAATTTTTATATGAAATTTGGTATGAGTAAACTAGACTAAATGAAGAAGATGCTCAAAATTTTCCATCAAAAAATCCACCGGGAACCGTCCAAATAGCGATAGCCGAACAGAGCCTCCTATATAAGTGGTGATTTGCACTTTTTAAGTAAGTTCGAGGGCCTATATTGTTCAAGAACTAATGGTTCGGAAAAAAAATTAGAAATTAGTTTGAGTGATGAATTAGTATTTAAGAATCCAAATAACTACTCCCTCTGTCTCACTTAAAGGTTCACAGGTGGTATAAAATGTTTGACTGATCATAAAGTTAAATGATCCTTGTTATATAATAATAAGATTTTTTAGTAAATAAAATTTACATATTCAGAATCTAAATTAAAAGTTTTATAAGATTGCAAAAAGAAAAATCAAAGTAGATGAAAGTTTGATATATATATATATATATGTATGTATATGTATATATATATATATATATTTCAATCACGTTTTTTCTGTCCGGACTGATTTAGAATTTTAGAACTCCAATTAGGGTCCAAGTTTTCGGGCACATGTTGGTAATTGGGTATTTAACCCAACCTCCGTTTTCAAAATAAACCTCGAACCAGTTTCATAGTCGGGTTGGGTCGGCTCGGTTTTCGGGTTTTGAGTCGTTTTTTCCCACCCTTGTTTAAGGGAGTGGAGGGAGTATATAAGTTAAAATCAATAGGTGAGTTAAAGACAATTCAAAAATTAATCTAAACCGCCGGCTGGGCGAAGCATTTGGCCATATGATGGTGTAATCTTTGATTGACAGTGTGCGGCTGGAGAAAAGCAAAGGAATTAATGAATGCGTATCGGATCTCTATATACTTGCAGTACTTCCATCGAACTGAGCTGGCACCTGTCACCTCTTTCATCGTAGCTTCTAATTTATCTCCATCTGCAATCATTATGCTAAGATTTATTCCTTCTGTTTGTATACTTACATAATTATTACCTAATACGGAAACCTAATTAAATTGGATTTACATTTTACAGTTTACACCCACGGAAAGTGGAAACCCCCCCTATAAATATGGGTGCCATGCACATTCTGTTTTGCACGTCAAAAACAGTAGGAACATTCTTTAGTTCAACTTTGGGGTACCCTTCAACTTAGTGTTCATCAACTTAGCAAACACTTCAACAGATTAGAGTATGGTTAAGATGGCTCCATCCAAAATCAGAGTTTCCAGTTTGATCTTCTTGGCAGCAATTTTCTTCTTCCTCTTTGCCATGCAATCCCAATCTTATGGTCTGCCCTTCTTTCCCTTTCTTTATTCATCAACTTCATAAATGTTTTTCTCTCTTCAACAAATTCCACTCTTTTAACTAGAAACCTTAATTACAATAGTTTTGTTTTATTAATAATAATCAGATCATGCAGATTCTAAGATGGGGTATCAACCAAAGAGCATGGCAGTCCATAAAATGATTCAAATCAGAAAGGTGAAGTATGAGGAATACTTATTAATGAATAAGAAAGTTATTCTTTTTTTTTTGAACGAAAACAAGAAATTTATTCTTTGAAAAATAGTGTTGCCTACTTCTCATTCCAAATTTTAAAAATCTGAACTTAAATTAATTTTACTAATAAAAAATTAAATATGTTTATTGTCAAAGTTTTGGCATGCAAACATGAAAGTTGAAGTGTTGCAACTAAAAAGGATAGGGAATCGAAATATATGTTTAAAACATGTTTTATGACTATATTATTGGCATGTTTTACTTAAATCCGCATGTATATTTCAGGTGTTGAAGGTGCAGGAAGGGGAAGTACTGAAGGTTGAGAGGGGGCTAAGGGAAGCCCCAATGGGTCCAGATCCTCTCCACCACCATGGAGGCAGCCCAATCAACAGAAACAATAATCTGCAGCCCACAAAAAATCCTTAGTTAATTAATTATGTCAGTAGTTACCCTAATTTTGTCTTAATGACTGGGTAGCTTTTCTAGTTTATTTTGGCTGGCCAGCTATAGTTGATTAATTACTTAGTAGTGTTTTTGCTACATGTTAGATACATGGCATTCAATTCTTTGGATGCATGTAGAACTATTCATACATTATATAATTAGTACGTAGCTAGGTAGTCAGAAGACCATGTAATATATTAGGTGCTTTTAATTTCCTGCATTTGTGTGGTAAATGAAATTTAGCAGTTCACTTTTATTTAAGTCCTTTTGCATGGGATTATGGGAATATACGTACTGATGAAAACGGTTAGCAACACAAGAGGGGGGTGAATTGTGTTTCTGTGGAATTGTGGCAGTTTTTCACCAAGTTCTAGTGTGGGATAAAGGGAATTGCGAAATAGTAAAGTGCACAAGTATTTAACGAGGAAAAATCCCTTGGCTCAAAAGGGATAAAAAAACCTCGACCTCCCTCGGAGGAATTTTAACAACTTCACTAAACAAGCCTTGAAAAGGTTACAAGAGTGATCCTCCTAATCTACCCTTGAGCCTCCCCAACTCTATCCTCTCTATGAAGAGTTATGCATCTCTACCTTTTGGGTAGAGTGCCTCTCGGCTTTATCACAAAGCTTCTCACACACACTTAACCCAACCCAAAGCAGCTACACTTAGCTAAGCCTCAATGACCCAAGTACAATATGGTAAAGAAAATAAACTCTATCTAGAACTTCGCTTGAGCAGTTTCAGGTGCTATGGACTTGATCCTTTTTGAGTGATTCTCCTTAGTAATTTTCTTCGTCAAGCTCACCACTCTTCTTTGACTCTATGGATTATATATACTGCCTTCTGAATAATTCCGTTAGAGCTTCCTTTGCCGATTCTTCCCTTATATAATACTCCCTCCGTCCCAGGGAGAAGTTCCCACTTTCCTTTTTTGGTAGTCCCAACAAAAAGTTCTCATTTCCCTAAATGGAAAGTTATCCTACATCAAAACAGTGTCAAACAGTGCAAAACAGTGCCAAACAGTGTCGAAACAGTGCCAAACAGTGTCAAAATAGTGCCAAACAGTAAAATTTACCCCTCAGTAACTTTATTTCTTTAGTATGTGTGAAAGTCAACCCGGGAACTTCTCCCTGGGACGGAGGGAGTATTATCTCATAGGTCAAGCAAAAAGAATTTTCCAATAATACATAAGTGTACGAAAGCAAGCCACAGTCTCAAAGTAATAAGGTAAGGAAATAAAATCTTTACATATTAAAGTAAGAAAGCAACGGTTCATGCCAGCACACATCCTTACACAAATTAATCAAATAAATTAATCATGGATAATCATTTATGGAAAGGAGATATTTATTAAATCATTCAAATAGCAAAGCATGCAATTCGTAAGTGCTATGGTCAATCACCAAAAAGGTAAGAAATTATTCTCAATATAAGTGAGAGTGGAATGGCCGGAATATAAATTCTCCTTTTTCAAAATAATTGCCTTTTCTAAGTAGATGCACTCATTAAAGACCCTTTCCATAAAAAATCATTTGACACTTTGAAAGCAAAATATCCATATTCAAATATTTCACTTAATATCACAATTAATGATAACTTTTATGGAAGGAGATATATAGCAAAGCACGTAAATGCTATGGTCAGTAACCAAATATAATGCAAGCACGTAAGGAAATAAGGACGGTTTTGTCTTCCATTCCGTATGGAACTGAGGACGGTTCTGTTCATCGTTCCACCTGCATGGTTAGTCATAACAAAACAACATATTCAACACGTACTTACAGAGATATAATACGTAATAGTGTAGTACATATACCATTACACTCCATTATAATTAAGAAATTATGATATAAGTTTAGTAGTAACGTATACACCCTTATATTTAGATATATTCTGTGGGTAAGAAAAACAAGAGAAGTGTTTACATTAGGCGAATTGAATTCCTTCAAGTGAACTCTATTTTTAGTAAAAATGAAGTTAAAGGTTTCATTTTGTATTTATGAAGTTTTGGCTGAAGTGACATTGGCTGATTCTGCTGATTTAATAAAAAAATGTTTTTAAAATTTATTTTATTAATAAAATAAAGAAAAAATTATATGTAAAAATAACGTAACTAAAATGGTCATTTAGAGTAATTTCAGCCAATACAACCAGAAATGTAACTCCAACCTTACTTTTTTTTTATTACACAATTCAGCGGGCGAAAACAAAAGTTATGTGTTTGGTGAAAAAGTGGTTGATAAACCTGATAAGCCGAAAAAAAGTGTTACTAGATGGCTTCTATATATATATGTATCAACTTTGTTGTTTCTAATCATTTGAAAATTAATCTTCTGAGCCTAATTTTAATTTTTTATGCTGAATTAATAGTAACTTTTTTGTACTCCGTAAGTAATAGAAGTGAAAAAGTGAGGTAAAAGATTAACCTTTGAAATAATTAAAATTTAACGGTTGATACCAAAGCGCTGCTATTCAGAAAAATAAAACCATTGTGATTTCCCACGAATAATATTTTTCTAGTTAATTCATTTGATAAAGTTAAAGGACGATTAACATTCCAAATAACACTACAAAAAACATGGGATTGACGGAGAATTTGACAGGGGTTTGGCAAGAATTTTGACAGGAATATGCCAAACACTTTGACCTGTATATATTTTTCTTACATATTCTCTTACTGTATATATTTCCCACCAAGGCCTGTATATATTTTTCTTACATTTCTACCATAATTAGGGAGTGTTTGCAACAACTTAAAAAAAAAACACTTCTCAGCCTTTGACTTGAAAAAGCACTTATTTACCAAACACTACCAATTTTTACTTTTTCTCGGCTTGCGTGTGAAAAATGCTTTTCCCTTTTCTATTACACAAAAAGCACTTATTTTACCAAACACTACCAACTTTTACTTTTCAAAATCACTTTTTTCTCAAACACTATCAACTTTTACTACTAATCATTTTTTCCTTACATCTCCAAAAGTGCTTTTTTTTAAGTAGAAACCGTTGCAAACACTCCCTTAATCGAGACTCTTGTATCTCATCTTCAACAAGTGTTACTCGCATATTTTATCTTGTTGTCTCATTCTTTAAGTCTCATTTACTACTAGGGGTGTGCACGGGTCGGGTTCGGGCGGGTCGGGTTTGCGAACCCTAAACTCGTTCGGGTTTTTTAATTTAAATATTAGGCCCGACCCTTTAATATTTCAAATCGGATATTTCGGATATTTTTAAGTCGGATATTATCGGATATCGGGTCGGGTTTCGGATATTTCGGTTATATTAAAAAAAATTATAATTGGATAATTAAAGTGTTTAAATGCCACTTTGACAAAAATTGTACACACTAGTGCATTAAACTTCCAAATTACACAAATAATTTAACACAATTGCACAAATAATTACACAAATAATTGAATAAAAGTAATAATTTAACATATTCAAAGTACACACTACATAATTTAATATATTTTGGATATTTTGGTTATATCAAAACACATTATAATTGGATAGTTAAAGTGTTGGAAGGCCACTTTAACAAAAATTGTACATAATAGTTCACTTCACATTCAATTTACACAAATAATTTAATACAAATTGCACAAATAATTACACAAATAATTGAACACAAGTATTAATTTAAATATTTAAAGTACACACTAAACATATACCGATAGTATTTCGGATATTCGGGCGGGTCGGGTTAGGATTTCACAAACCCTACCCGCCACCCGGTCTAGGCCCAATACTAATCGGATTTTCGGTTTCGGGTTTTTCGGGTCGGGTATCCACTTCGGTTCGGATAATATCCGAAAAAAATATCGGGTTTTTCGGGTCGGATCGGGTTTTGCTCAGCCCTATTTACTACTCGTTTTTGTCTGCGCATCCAATGCAACATATGCATATGCATATCAACTGTATAATGCAAACCTAATTTTTGAGTTCATAATTTAGCGCGTGAAATAAAAAATTGCATGTTTGATAAGAATTAAGAAATGATTGAAAAACCTGATAAGGTGAAAAATAGAATAACAGCACCAAAATTACTCGGTTTCTCAAAATTAAATAAAAGCAAAAAAAAAAACAAATTAGACAAGGTGCGTAATACAAGTAATACGTAGTATCTCATAATGATTACCGTTCGTCAGAACTGCAATGTAAGGCATCCCTTGATCTACAACGTAACCGGCCTGCTTCAAAAATTGCCTCTTACATTGATTGCGTGTTTATAAATGTCACCTCATCAGGTGCCTTCATCTCCTTTTTCCATGCAAAGTCGCTTATCTAAAAATAATTCAAAATATTTGAAATGAGATATCTCGTTTCAACTTTCAAGCTTTCAGAGGGTGGGCAAAAGATACTCTATTCACTCAACAATGTCTATGTCCCTCACTCTTTCTATTTTAGAATTTTATTTTATTTTCGAAATTTAATCTAATATATAAAATACTCTGATCTATCGTTCCTATTAGATTTTGCTAGCTTACATTTGTCTTATTGATCTGATTTTTTTTATATATTTTTTTAAAATAAGTAATTGTAATCCTGTTTATTTCTTTCTAAAAACAAAAAATATCGTCTTTACTCTTTAGTCTTTACATAGACAAAAAAGGTGTGTACACAATGTGTATGAGTTTGACGTGTACGAGAAGCTGTTATTTTCGAGTTTGACTCGCATGAGAAATAAAAATGAAAAAATGTGTTGTTAAAATTTGTGCACATGAGAGAATTAATATATATGATCTCTAAATTTATTGATTGGAAAAGAAAATGATAAAGTTTTTAAGGAAAAACGTAGAAAAAGTGCATGTGGTTTGAATCGTTTTCAGATAGGGGCACATGTTTCATTTTATAACAAAGTGGGACATGTGTTTCAATTCCTTTATCACAGCTGGAGCATGACGTCTAACGCCGTTAGAAAAATTAACTCCGATTTTCAAAAATTTCCAAAAAAATGAAAAATATTAGGAGATGTGCCTCGTCAAAAAGACCTCCAGACCATTTTTTGTTTTGTTTTCAGCCACCCTACCTGTCGCCAGAAAGTCCACCGGAAAAATGATATTAGCGAATTTAGTTTTCAAAAATATTCCAAAAAGAGCAAAAAATTCGAACAGAACAATAGTTTGTTAATCTCCTTGATGAGGCGCACCTCCCAATATTTTGCTTTAATTTTTTGGAAACTCATTAAAACCGGAGTTAATT